TAAGTGGGAAATTTTGGTTTATAAGTGTTGCTGCAGATAAGAGCCACACTGCAGTGTGAATTTTAGAGTGAAAGCTGATGGGCAGATAAATGGGCTATTGGAGCTGACAAGTAGAATGGCAGTCTCAAAGTAGCTTCCAAGAATGTGGGTTAGGATGGTACCAAAACTAGCCTGGAATGGACAAGGAATTACTTCAGGGATCAAGAGAACCAGGTGACAGAATACTCTCTCATGCACACCACAGCAGGGAGCAGCACACAGAGGTCTGACTTAAAAAATGATGGACTCATCTGCAACTGACATTTTCCAGCAATGCTCATAGAAGGGAGACTTAGAGGCTGGGCAGGACTGTTGCATACAACCTCATCTGCAACTGGACAAAGCTGAGAGTGAAGGCTGGAGCAGTGAGTGGCACACGTTAGTGTGCGTAAAAGCCTTAAGCATGAAGACACACACCTGCAGCAGGAATCCAGCTTCTGTCTGTCTAGAGAAGGCCCAGGGACCTGCACTTCTCAACGAGCTCTCTGGGTGATTCAGAGGCAGAGGGGCTGCAGACTGCCTCTGGGCAAACACCAACACCTCCCCAGGGCTTCTCAACTTCCCTTCATGGAACATTCTGGCTCTCATTTTGTTGCCTTCATGAGCTCAGAATTTAGGCAAAAGTGCTTCTGTGTCCTTAGGTCTGGTTGGGCTTTTGGGTTACGAAATGGCTTGTTCTTATTTATGTGTGTTCCTCTGCACTCTAACTGCCCCCAGCGTCCCCCTTCCCTGCACACAGTGTAAATGAGAAGCTAATTTTGTTCTGCTGATCTAATTTCTCCTTTAGCATTCACTTTTAAATGAGGACTAGGATGTGCTGACTGGGCAGAAAGTCTGACCCTCTTTAAGGCCATGGACTCAGGAATCCGCAGGGAAATGAGGGAGGCCCCCAGAAGCAGAGCAGGTCAAGGGTACTAGTCTTGAAGAACAAAAGTGAAAGCAGATACCCATTCTAGGTTATAGCCTTTCTGAAAGAACATGGAACTGACCCATGGGAGTTGCCCAGGGATTGCAAAAGGGGTTCTGGAATCAAACAGCTGTAAATATGTGTTTTTCTACAGATACACTCAAATATTTAGTGTCAACAAAGTATTTTTATAGTCACGTTTGACTCTGCTTACTATTCAGCTTTGGTACATTCTCCAAATTCTATTCACCTTAAAAACAGCAGACTGATAACATTTAAGTCCCTAAATCTCTGGGCTTGGCCATCTTGAAATGAGATCTTTTATTCTTTTCCAGCTTTCCACAGTGCATTTTCATACCACTCTCGAAAGAAGAAAGATTATCAGGAAAAGAAAAATGAAGGGAAGTAAAGTTGAAAGGATATTGCCCCAAAGCTTTTGGTAGGAAAACATTTAGGTCTGCAAGCATACACCACACCCTTTCTGGGAAGATATTACTGGTCTTGAAGCTAGGTTAGTGGATTCCAAAATATATCTCACAAACAGCACAGTTATCCTCTCAAAATAGGCCCTATAATTAAAGTCTTTTCAAGTGGATTGTCCTATGTCACAACTTCACATATGTTGCTTTAGTCCCCCTGCTTCAGCACACGTAGCCATACTGGGCTACGAAGGCTCTGAACGACTTGTGGTGTCACTAGGAAATTGATGCAAACATACAGCCATGTGCACCAAAATACCCAACCTCAATCATCTGTAATGAGATCTCTCTCCTCCCTAAGCACATTTTTATCGTGCTAGAATCGCTATCCTTGGTTCAGAAGGAAGGATTAGCCCAGATTGAAATGCCATTTTATCTCAGGGGTCACCTAAAGACAAACACATGTGAAGAAGCTAGAGTTAAAATTTAAAATGCAAGATCATCTCTCCTGTGTGAATACTGGGATCATGTGTGACCCTTGCTTTTTGCTTTAGTTGCCAGTTGTCAGCATGAGCCTTCAGACACCTATCTGTCTGAATTTCATTTAGATCTTTTTTTTTTTTTTTTTGCCTGGAGTCAGAGTTAATGTAGGAGATGGCTTCTTTGGAGCCCTTTTAGACCTATGATTCTTTGAACAAACTTTTTAATGTTTTCTAGTTATATACGTATAGCTAAATGTAAAAATATTTAAAATTTTAAACCTTCAAAATAATGAGTAATTTAGACATGAAATTTTTAAAATTACTTCTATATGAGGTTTCTCAGCCTCAAAATTAGATCTTGGGTTGGATCTCTCTGTCTGTGCGTTCAGCGCTGTCCTGTACATTGTAGGACTTTTAGCAGCATCCCTGGCCCCTACCCACTGGCAGCCAGTGTGCACACTGCCCAAGTTGTGACCATTAGAAATGTCTTCCGATATTCCCCTATGTCTTCTGGGGGGACCAAATTGCCTTGGACTGAAAACCACTGCTCTCACTATATTTGTGTATTTATGTATTTCCCCTCGCATGGCCAGGAAAAATATACGTCCAGATTTTCAAGGCATGCGCAAGTTTTAGTTTTAAGAATTTCAAACTTCCTATGACTCATAATGAAGAATCAGGATCTGTGACACCCTACTACCCAAGAGATTTATAAACAGCACTACTGCTGTCTCAAAATAAGGGTGGCGTGACCTCATTTCAGTCAAGACATTTAAAAGGATGACTCTGCAACCTGATCTCCTGGATGCTATCCTCCCTACTTTGGGGAGCTCCATTCTTAGAAGACTACTCTTAAGAAATCCTTCACAATCTATTACCAGGCACTCAGGACTGGTTATGAAGGAAGAAGATTTGGGTTGGTGTCTATGAACATCATACACAGAATCGATGGCCCACTGTACTCCTCCAGGGCCAGACCATTCCAGAGGCAGCATTTTAAAGCTGTGCCAATTGTGAAAAAGGACGTGATAAAGCAGACACTTCCTCAAGGACAGCTGCAGGGTGGGGGGAGACAAGAAAATAACACTGGAAGACAAAGAGCCAACGAAAGGACAATGGTAGGTCCAGTCCAGAGAAGAAAAGGTGAATGAGGAAGGAGATCATCTAAAATATCTGGTGAGCTGGTGTGTGGGAAAGTGAATGGACTTGTCTCATTTGCTTAGAAAGTGACTGAGAGCAGTAGGTAGCTCAATAAATAGTTATCACAGGCCTTCCAGGTGCCAGGCACTGAGACGACAGGGAGGAAGAAGACCAGTCTCTGTCCTTCGGAGTTCACACTATCGTTCCACGTAAGGACTAGATTGCTTCCCCTCCCCACCCTTCCACTTTCTTTTGAACAATTTGAGCCAAATGCCCAGTTATTTGTCTAACTGCTTGTATTTTTTCTTTTATTTAAGGTTTAATTAACGTACAGCAAAATTTACCCTTTTTATCGTATAGTTCTGTGACTTTTCACAAATGTGTACAGTTGTATAAAGACCACCACAGTCAAGATCTGGAACAATTTCCTCACCCCCTAAAATTTTCCCGTGCCCCCACTTGTTTTCTTAATTGGAACAAGTGGCTTGGGGCATAGTAGGCTCATCTCTGAGAAAATGTGAATTTCCCTCTACGGGGATACTGTGGAAGAGACTTGTTTAGCTAGTGGAAGATTGGGCCAGACAAACCCTGAGGTCGGGTCCATACCTCTGATTCCATGAAACTAGGGGGTCGTCATATGAACACCTGATATTATAAATATTGGCCCATCTACAGTGATAAGTTTCATTTTCCCCAACCACAGGAAAAGGCTCCATTCCAAAGGCAAATTCTTTTAGTCAAAGCTCAAAAAAATCAGTCCAATAATGGGATCTCTGAGAGAGCTACATAATAAACATAGACTCCTCCCCACCCCCCCAAAAAGACACGCTTGGAAATGAAAGCCTGAACTTGGTAACTGAGGTCCAAACCAAGGGTACCATCTACTCCCAACCCTTCTTTCTTTTGTTGTTATTTTGGTTTAAAAATAATATTAACTCCAAAACTGAACAAAGCTCCAACAATGTGACTGCAATTGGCTCTACAGGGGGCAGGAAGGGAAGTTAAATGAGCTGAGTTTGCCTAAGAATGAGCGGACAGGGTTAGAGAAGACAAACGCCTTGGACCCACAGCTTGTCATGGAGTGGGTGCTGGAGGAGGGACTGTGGTGACCAAGTCAAGTCCCCTGTGACAGCAAATGGGGCACAACCAGCCAATCCCCAGCAGCCCCTCTGCTGGGAGATATGAGCACCTTTTAGTGGCTTGACCTCAGTGGCAAATGTCCAGTGTCCAAACAAGCCTGTTCTGTTACCAATAATACCTGCTTTACTGAGTATCTACTATGCTGAAGCACTACCTTGTTCATTTTACTCTCACAATCACCTTATGAAGTAGGTAACATTGTAAGTCTCACTTCACAGACGAGGAAACCGAGGCTCTGAGAAGTTATGCAACAACCAGTAAGTGTAGAACTTAAATTTGAACCCAGGTCTCCCAAACCCAAAGACTCTCCTTTTTACTATTCCTAGCAATATTCCTAGCAATATTCCTGACTTCTGGGTGCTTGCTGAACTAAGTGACCTAGGCCACTGTTATGCTGTCTTGTAAGCTGGCTCGCAGGCATGCTGGATTCTTAAGTCCCTTTACTTTCCCATTCCCCAAGCTGCTAACTGCCTGTTTCTCTCTCATTTCAATGCAGAGGCCATGAAGATCTCTCTGCTTTAGACTTTGCATTTTATTTCCCTCTTTTGGTCTGCAAGTTTATTACTCATATTCTATGGTTGACTTAGAACATAAGCTAAACTGTCAAGAGCATTCTTTACCCTGCAACCAGCAGCTTTCCTAAATCTAGACTTCTTAAGTCTTAGAAAACCCCATCCTGCTTAATAACATCAGCAATAACAAGAAAAAAGTCATACTGTCAGCAAACACCAATCAAATGTCGCATTTAATTATAAAATTGTACTCTGTCTAAGTTTGGTGCAGATTCAAAGATGCACAGAACAAGACCATGGCTTCCCTTTGTGAACGCCACTTTACAAGAAAGGTGTTAGAGAACAGAACAACGCCACTTACCAAAATTTCCCCCAACTACGCAAACTTTATACACACCACATGTCTTCTAATACAGCTGCTGGAGTGGTCCTGGAAAACAATACCACAAGGACAGATGCATCAGTAAAGAAGTCATTTTCTGTGTATATACATACATATTGTGTTTCCCCTCTGGATACCATACATCTTCCCTGTTTTGGGCACCTGTCAATATACCAAAGTCTTACCACCAGATTCCTCTTTGTTTTTCACACGAAGATGAAACCAGCTCATAAATTAACTCAATGCTCGCTAATAATAAATAAATACAAATCTGGACAACAAAATAAGCCAGAAACTGTACTTATAAATACTTAATTTGAATTTTTAGCCCTTTATAATAACTGAAGACAGGAGAACAATGCAAAAATATCTAAAGTTGAACTCATAATATTTTCCCCCCAAACCATTCCTCAGTAACACATCCCCTTCTCTTCTGCTGGCTGTGAAACCCTGATCTTTTTTTTTCCTAGACTTTATTTTTATCTGAAAAATAGGGATCATCATACTGACCTCAGAGGGTTGTTATGAGGATTACATGATCTAAACTTAATGACATTAAATGACAGAGAACGGCTTAAAACAGCATCTGGCACAAAGTAAGCACTCAGTGAAGGCAAAGAGTGAGTTTCACTCTCCTAGTCACTCAGGCCTGAGACCTACATGGCCTTGCTCACCTTCACTGTAAACCCTGGCCCAAGCCTGCCCTTCCAGTCCTGCAGGCGCGCTGAAACTCACGGCCTTCTCTCCATTTGCACCATTACTCTCTCTGGCTGGCATCGGTCCTGGCAGAAACTGGTCTCTGGCCTCCTGTTTCTTCCCTTCCAATCCCACTCTCCTGGTTCTGCAAAGCATCCTTCTTGAACACAACTTAAAGCCTCAGTGGAAACCCCTTCCACTACTTCCTACTACCTACAAATCTATCTGTGAGGTAATTTTAGCCTGGGGTTCCAGCTCACCTTAGCTTTGTCTCCACATCATCCCACCAAATGCTGTGGCACTCAGTCACCTGTCCTGTCTGAGCCATATCTTCTGTCCCCTAACTGTTGGTAGGAGGCCCAGCTATTCTCTAAGGCAGGGGCCCTTTACCTAATTTTGTGCCATAACAATCTAGAGATATTCTGTTTCTCAGAATAATGTGTTTAAATGCTTGAAGTTAACACATGAAGTGAAAAAGTATACTGATATATAGATATCGAAATATATAACAAAATTATGTACTTCTTTCAAAATTTAAATACGTTTCAGTAAAAGTCTAATAATGACTAATTTTGAAGTAGTGTTGAGCATAAATGATATTTCGAGATATCTTTGACTACAATGTAATATTAAAATCCCATAATTTCTATTGGCAATGAATGGTTAATGTTACTTCCACAATAGAAGGAGATGTTAGATTTCAGCTAAGAGCTAATGAAAAGAAAGAGAGAATTTTTCCCCATCCAAGTTCATGACCCCCTGAGTTACATCCATGGATCCCAAGTCAAGTATCCCCACTTTAAGATCTAGCTTAATGTTCAACCTCTTGAGCCCTTTCTATCTTGGTTTTTCTAATTTGGGATTGCCTTACCCCTCTTTATTTTATTTTTTAAAATTTTATATTAGTTGACATAGATACTTTATTTTTTTAAGATTTATTTGTTTTAGAGAGGAGAAGACAGAAAGAGAGGGACAGAAACATCAACGTGTGGTTGCCTCTAATGCACCCCCTACTGGGGACCTGGCCTATAACCCAGGCATGTACCCTGACTGGGAATCGAACCAGTGACCCTTTGGCTCGTAGGCTGGCACTCAATCCATTGAGCCACACCAGTCAGGAAAGACATAGACACTTTAGATGTACTTATTATTTCCTGTTTTTCAAGTTGTATGTCTTTAAGTTGTAAGGGAAGGCCATATTTTTTTCCCATTTTTAAAATTCCTCCCATGGCTAATAATGTCTTGCCTCACAGCAGGCACAGTAGGAAGGCATTTGGTCAGCACTATTTGAATTAATCAGTAAATAACAGTGCGATCTTGCTTATCCTACACAGGCTTGGCTAATATTAACATTGCCTTACTTCTCTTTGGCAGCTTAGCAGGTCTTAAATATATGGAAGGGGCACCTAAACATTCCACACTTAGAGTATAAGTACTGAAATTAGGCAACAAAATACTCTCTCCCTTTACTTTTTCTCTTTACAGAGTAAATGCATAGTCAATGCTGCTAACTGACAGATCTCTGCGGAACAGACCAGTTCTTCTATCACTTCATGGATGGAAGGAGTGCCTGTCTGAGAATCTCTTAACCTTTCAGGACCTTTGCGCAGACAAAGAACAGCTGGTGATTTCCTAAGCACAGGTAACTGTGTGACTCATGTGGGCAAGGCCAGTTAAGAGTTACCATGGCTTCCTATTGTTCTCACATACGTGAGCCTGTAGTTCTAGGGCAGGTGGTCCCAGAAGATGAAGCAGTGAAATTTCATCTCGTCTCCTGAGTGATGTTTTCTTTGCACATAAGGTCGGAGATGGAAACCCCACCTAAGTGACTGTATCAGGAAGGTCTACTAAACACCTGGCTGCATAGTTCACTCTGAACTCCACTGAGTCTGTAATGGATCAGCCTCACGATGGACATCAGTCCTTCAGTCTTAGCAGTCTTTTTCCTGAAAAGCTGCAGCTCAGGACTCCTGTGTATCTTTTCCAAGAAAAACAAAAATATAACAGACCAGTTCTTCCTTTTCAAATGAAGAGAACACAATGATATTCTCCACTGAAACCATTCATAAGGGCATTGCGACCATTTGTTTTGGCATAAATTCACCATTGACAACATTTTTCAAGCCCTACATCGTGTCGAGTGACTCTTATGATAATTGGGGTGTACTCCCCCATCCTAGTAACCAAGACTGATGAGATACTCAGAGAACAAAGGCTGGACTTGGCATAGTCTCTTCATTCTTAAGGACATTTAAAGCTATTTCATTGGAATTTATTCCCTTTGAGACACTAGATATATGGTACTAAATAAAAATAGACGAACGATAATGAAGGGGGCAGCATGACTGTTTTATCTTCCATTTCAGGAATTATGATATATACACCCTCATAAATAAGTAATGTTTATAGGTGCTCCTATATAAAACAGATTACACTGCATGTACTTTTTGCATCTAATACATATCACAGACTATTGTGTGTGGCTCCTGGTTGCAAGGGAACATTCTGATTACACACTGGGAACAAGTTATCTCTAATAAATTCCCAACTGCATGGGGCCATTCCCCTCTCCTTCTTCCTAACAGATGCCTGTATTCCTTCAATCACAGTGTCTCATGGGCAGGTGGCAGCCCCAGCTGGAGGGTGGGGACCCACATAGTCTAAGGCTTTCCAGTGTGTCAACAAGCAACATCAGCATCACCTGGGAGCATCTGGGAAGCCTCAGCTGAGGCCCCACCCCAAACATAATGAATCACAATCTATTTTATAAGATTTCCAGGTGATCTGTGTGCATGCTAAACTTTAAGATGCATTGATATAAGGGAAACCCCCTTCCAAGTGATTTGTTCAAGAACTGGCATGTGACCCAATTCAGGAAAATGAGATGTGAAGGTTTTGTGGGGGGCTTCTCCACATTCTTCTGGGAGAAATTCCCTCCTGAATGTTGTGCGGGATGTGACACCTAGAACTTCCATAGCTATCTTGCTCCCACCTGAAGATAGACCTGGCCCAGAAAGAAGCGCAAAGACAGAACACAGAGAAGCAGAGTGGGGGGTGATTGCATCAGATCAACTCTGAAGTCTGCGGAATCATGGAACTGCCAATAAACTTCTTATTTTTCAGGTCTCTTAGAGTTGGGTTTTCAATTATCTGCAGCTAGAAAACATCCCTACATAAAGCATTATACGAGGAGCATAACCCAGGCACCAGGTTCAACCCATGCTAGAGTCCAGACAAGTCAGTGCACTGAGAGACCAGAGGAACAGTTCAGAGACTCATTTGGTTGGGGGAACTGACCCAGTAGTGTTTCCGGTTCGTCTGACATCCATTGTTTGCTTTGCCCATTTCCAAAAGCTTTCTAAATTAGCCAGTCTAAATTATCAACCAGAGGAAGTGCTGAACCCTTTCCAAATTATTTTAATCAAAGTGATCAACAGTTGCCTTCCCCAGAAGTCACATGGGTGTCATTTCCTGCAAGGACAATGGGAGACTAATTGCTTAGCCTCAGACTCTAATAGGGAAGGCAACCTGTGGCATGTAATTACTGAAGGGTAAAAAACAAAAAGCTTGAGGCTCTCAGAACCTGCTCCTGGAGACTTCCGCCAAAATGGAGGCATAGGTGGAGACGCCTTGCTTTCTCACACGATCAAGTTTAGAGACAACAAAATATTAGCAACAGAAAACACAGCCAGAACACAGAAATTGAACTTTTAGGAAGTCTGATAACAACAAATTCTTCAGCCTGACCGGTAAGAGGGGCGAAGCCAGCAGCTGGCGGAGTGGGGTTGCACAGGAAAACTTGGTCAGACGGACTTAGGTGCGTGGATCCCAGGTGTGGGGTTGCAAAGGGCCGACCCAGTGAGCAACCGGAAGATCTGGTGAGGGTGAAGGGCGGCGCGTTGACTGTGGTGGCACATTCCTGCACAGATAGACCAGTGAGGGAGTGGGCGGTGAGACGGTACCGAGTGGGTCCCAGCAAGGGGAGCAGCAGACACGGCTGCCATTTCCCGGCTCTGACCCCGCCCCACATACAGCGTCACAACCCAGCGACCTGAGTGGCCCTGCCCTGGCGAACACCTAAGGTTTCGCTCCTCACCCTGCGGAGGGAAGCAGGAGAGGGGGACGCCATTTCCTTATTCTGACCCTGCCACCACATACAGCGCCACAACCCAGCAACCCCACCCTGGAGGCCCCGCCCCGCCCCTAAGGCTCCGCTCCTCATACTTAATGGGCACGAACAGACCAAAAATGGCTCAAGAAGATCTCAAAGCCCCAGAGCCCATAAATCTAACAAATGAAGAAATAGCAAAACTTTCACATGCACAGTTCAAAACACTGGTCATCAGGATGCT